CTAACATAAAACAGTGGTGCAAACACTGGTAAAATTGCATTTGTTGCCACAAAGTGAGTATCAGGAATTTTATCTTTGCAAACAATAGTTTAAGACATTTGTACAACACTTTTCTTCTATGACATATCCCTTGCAAACAACCTAATCTAACCCCCTAGCCCCCAGCCTCCATGCCTTCAGCAATTTGGAAACAACTGTCGCAGAACTTTGATTCCAGCAGAAATGAACTACCATACTGTACTAAGTGCTGGTACAATAGCTCAGTGGTTTGTTCCTGCTAGAACCAATTATAGTTCAATGGTAGATTTATTTTTAACCATCAAAGGGCACACGTGCACATGAAGACAAAGTGTATATGTTGCTTACATTATATAGAATACTGTACCGTATATTCAAAGTTCATTAGTCGTTCTTCCACCAACAAACTTGCATTCTATCATTACAACAAACTGTTTAGTCAAAATCTCACAGCTTACAAATTATTATTAAGAACAAGAAAGTAAATCAACCAATTTCTATCTCTTTTATAACAACATCAGTAATTGAGAACAGCACTACCACCAGACGAAGTTGTTCAATTTTGTTCATTTTTTCACAGGTGTTCTTATCATTATAGTGTGTATTTTAAAAGAGGCAACATTTAATAAAACCTCACCTAACCAACCAAAGAAAACTACCTAACCGTAGCTAATTTCCTAGCCGAGGGTGGAGCCCCACGGAGCGCCATATTAAGCAGAACGTACTTATTTGGATATATGGTACAGTTGCAGAAATGTGTTCCTTCACCCCTTGTGGTAGCCTGTCTCCAAACGGCCAACCTTATTATGACCTATAGCAAACCTATCCACCAATCACGTCCGTCGTTACACGACCAATACCCATTCATTCATAAATAGTGATACTACTACTGCGACGGTGCCGTTTGGCGACACGGGTTACCACAGGAAACGTTTGAGGAACTCACAATACCTGCAAAAACCCTCCTGCAAATTGCAGAAGTCCTTTACAAACCAAAAGGAAAGAAAGAAAGCAATATTAACCCAACTCTGCCAACCACTAATAAGACCTACAATCCTCGCAAAACAAAAACTTAATATACCCGACCTTTCTAACAACCCCCTTCGACCCCCCCTAAAAAAAAAAAATTACATATGACTCAATACAACTATTCATTAGCCACACAAATCATATCACCCCTAAGATATCCTACCATACTATAAATTAACCTAACAACCTCCAAAGCCCCCCCTCCCCTCCCAACAACTCACCATACCTGACCTCACTAACAATTATCCTCCTTCCCCCTCTCCCCTTACTATATTGACACACACACACTCACACAACAACCCCCCTTAAGCAATTCTAATTCAGCTCAAATCAACATACCACCGCCACCCCCAACCAATCCCCAATACAAACTCCCCCACAACCAATCTCCAAACACAACCCCCCGCCAGACAAATCCTCTCATAATACTACAACTCTCCAGAACCAAACCAAACATACCCAACCTCTATGAGAGCCACTGTCAATGAAATCGACCTAACTCAAGACTGAAACCAATCAACCTATATCTCACTCTCATCTCCGTTCATAATTTGACAGAAGCTCAAATCTGTCTCCTGCTATTACTAAAAACTCTCCTACGATACGCTCATCCTTCCTTACTACGAATACTTTGACATTTCAAGCTCAAAGATTCAAAACCCTTCCTCCAACTCGCTCCGTTCCTCTTTGACATAGCTCAAAGACTTTACCTTCATCTTTCTCCAAACACCCTACGACTAGCTACATTTCCATGTTTTCACCTTCTCTGTTACTTTGATCGTGTGTTGCCTGTGCGTCCGTCCACCTGCGCTTCTCGGCTTGCGCCGCCGCCGTGGCGGGGCGGTTCTTCCTCGCTTTGCCAACACTGCCTAAGCTAGACGACAACCAGAGCACCCGCGTTGGCCCTTTGCTTGCCCGGTCCTGCTCCCGCCCTCCCTCTGCCTCGACCTGATTGTGATTGTTACACCTACCGGGCACATTGCCTACCCCCTCACGCAAGCGATGTTTAGCCACTGCACCTGTTCTCTCCTAAAATTCACTTCTATCCTCCCTTTATCCTTCCCCTGAACCTCTTTCCCCCCTGTCACTAGCTTTTATGTCATGTTATGTCAACGTTTGAACACATTTCCGCAACTGTACCAATGAAAGCAACTTTGCTGAAGTGTCATGGTGTAATTTAATTTTTTTTTTTTTGTGGAAGTGAGAGTACGCTCAGACCAAGCGGCTTGGTTGTAAACAAAATGAGGAGATGGCAACACGTGCTGACTTGGTAGATTATACTGAGGTGTATTTACGGTAAATAATTAATTTCTTCACATACAAATTATGTAGAAGCATCATTATAGTGTCAGTTTTCACTATATTTTACCCAGCAACTTCCCTGATTCTTCATGCTTGCCCACTACAGGTGATTTATGATCGTCGAGAAAACTAAAAAAAATACTTATATTTAAAATAAAAAGCTTTGGCTTCATTTAACATACTTGCTATAATGGTAAGAACATCTGTGGAAAAATGAATAAAATCAAACACGTCCTGGTGGTAGTGTTGTTCTCAGAAATTATTATTTGTTTTAAGTGTATTGCTAACCTAGTGCAAGTTATATGTACCCCTGTACAGTACTGTACTTCTTCAAATCAACTCTAGTTACTTAAGAAATGACAAATAGAAAACTGCTACCCTGTACCATGTGCGCTGGTGAATTAAAAATATAAATCACTCAACTATTAGGTATAGCTGATTTTCACAGATGACCACTGAGCAACATGACCAAACTTTGGTCTATTCCTGCTAAAATCAGATATAGTTTAGTCCAATATTTGTTTATTTTCATTCGCCGGGGTAGGTACAGCACACAGAGGCAGCGACCTTGTCACAGGTGCTTTACATATAACTCCTGAAACAAAATCCTACATTTGACTGTACCAGTAGTGTATTTAGGCGAGTCCTGACGTTGGCTTCTAACGACTTGGCTAAAGTAACTTCCTCGGTTTACCATAGTTTGTTTATTCACACTGTCTATACACGTGGTATACAACTGTGAACTCGCCTCAGCTTTTAAACGAATAAATATATAAATAGCTATTATAGAAAGATTGTTTAAAACCACTTCATCACGTGTCTTCTGTCAACTTTGGGGAGTTTAAAGACTGTTCCGGGATTGTTTATTTACTCTACAGCAGTGGTTCTTAACCTTTTTTGAGTCACGGACCCCTTTGAGAATCTGGTGAAAGCTATGGACCCCCTCCCTAGAAAAATGCACGTAAGCACAACTTTGCATGCAATGAATATACTTTATTTTATTGAAAATTCATTGCCTCATACAGTGTATGACATACACAAAGTATGAATAAAGTAAACAATCTAGAAGTCAAAACCTGACGACGATGACGACTGTATGTTACCTGACCGTGTACAGTAGCACCCCACGCCACCCTACAGATTTACTGGTTTCTTCAGTAACCAAAAATACATACATAACATCTGGTATATATTGACAAAAATAGAACAACTTAATATAAAAATATAGTGAATATAAATGTTAAATTTTTATCTGACCTTCACGGACCCCCTGAAGCCCATCCATGGACCCCAGGTTAAGAACCCCTGCTCTACAGGGTGTTCATAAACTATTTACATATGACCCATTGTTATCGCCGCTGGCTTGTTATCGCTGGTGTCAGTGCTGGCGTTTGCTGCCTTACCCGAACAAAAATTAGGGGGTGGGCGGTGTTTACGGAGAAGAGGTCCTGATTCTGCTAAATGTATGGTTTAAAAGGTGGCGTGGCCACCTGAACTCCAACAGATTGCCCCCTCAAGTGATGCTGTGAGGACCAGCCCTCTGCTAGCAGTGGTGAACACCGACTCCCAATCCTGGCCGAGTTTTGTGCTGGAAGAATTTACACAGTATTATTTTCCCTTGGAACACCATACTGGTTCGCATTGACCCGCACTTGTAAGTACAGCCAAAGTGATGACATACCCCTCAGTACTGAAATATTGTGGAATAATGATGCCTACTCGTTCCTGCCTTATCTGGAGCAATAAGACAACGCGGAATGAAGTGTAGCTAAGATTAATAGTTATGAACTTTGTATCATGTCACTATGCTCAATAATCAATTATAATTAAGAAAAATTGTGTGAGACTAACTAATTATGTATCAGATAGATCACTAATGAACGCCTTGTTCTCTGCAGGTTTTGACCACATCAATAAATATTGAATGCATCAAAAGGCGGGTTTCAATCATTTCCTTTCACTTGCCCGTCACCTGAACGTCCTTAACCAAGGCGTTTACACCCATTTTAAAAATTAATAATTCAAAAACACATTGTAATGAAACACCGGTTTTATTGACGAACAACTTATAAGTTTTTTCTGATTTTCTTAGACTCCACAAGCACACTGTGTTCTAATCTATAATACTTTTCTTTTTATCATCTCCACCGCTGATCGGCTCGTTAGCCACTTGGACGATCGGTCACGTCTCTGTTAAGCACTGTTGGCAAGTACTGGGCATGCACTGGCTCCTGAATGTATCTGAATCTGCTCCAGTGCTGGTCAAGGACGAGGTACAGTATAGAGGTTTAGGTATTGGTTTACAGTGGCTGGCGTAATATTATCATCCTACGGCATATATAATTTTTACTCTGAATTTAAGCCAAAAATAGCTATTCACTTATAAAATCTCTATAAATGGGCGAATATTTTCATTTTATTTTGATTACAATAAGATTACCATGGGCGCCATCAGATGTGTGTCTCGTGTATCTCTGGATAACGAATCAACCAATCAGACAACGTCATCCACTGATCTTTACCTGTTGTCTATACATTTGCGACAACAGGGAACTAGCGTAGATTCCCCCCTTCCCTCCTCCCCAGACACAGACGGCGAGGCTCGGTGGGTTAGTCTGTAACACTTAACTGCACAAACGTGTGGTGCCTCACAGAGACTACGCGTGTTTGGTGCTGGTCTGTCTCTGTCGTGGTAGTTGATAATATTTAGCGCTACTATTGACTGCTGAATGTGCAGTCTGGATCATTTGTTGCTCAAGATAACAAACGAATTCAAAAGCTGCTATTAGAAGAATAAGGTAGAAATGTTTACATGTGAATTTCTGCCTGTGTAGTGTGAAGACAAACACTTCGATTACGGATGTTGAATTTAGGTTTTGTCACAAGACTCGATTTCAGGTCTTTAAAAACAGAACGAGTTTGTGGAAACCTTAAGTGAAAAAAAAGTGGCAGACTTATTCGGGTACTGGCGGGAGTAAAACACCAACACCCGTGGCTCATGGTTTTCAGGGGCAGTGTGAGTGGTCGACCCCTAATTGCATATCTCAGGACAACTCTAATATGTAAATATATTAGTTGTTACTCGGTGTTCACCAATAAGAAAAATATCATAGAAGAGGCAGCGTTTTATTCATATAATCACACGAGATACTGAGAACTGTGTGACAGGAATCAATTGATAAGAAAATAGACTTGAAGGGGACCTACGTCCGGCAGCGCGTGCGAGGAGCAGGTAAACACAGACGAGTCTTGTGACGACGCCGCCGCCGCCACCCCTCACCAGTGAACAGTTATAAGCCTGGAGTCACACCTCGACCCCAGCTGCGCCGTTCGTAGCTAACTCGTGTCAGGATCTGCCCTTCGGTTGCCGGAGTGACGGTGAGTGTCCTGCAGTAACTGAGGTAAAAATAAATTACCATTGCGTAATAATTTTTGCATACATAATTATAACCATTACTACCATGTTATAATTATCATATTTACTTTTTGTCACGTGGCTCTATGGTCTTGGTTTTGGCAGCGTCAACTGACTACAGTATATAGGTCAACAACAAGTGCAAGCTGTCATCCTGGATCTCAAGTTTCAACCCTAATGTTATCATTGTGTCTCTAAGGTGTTATATTCACTGAATTGTCTTGGAGTTCACATCTCCCATAGCAAAACCTTAAACTTTTAAGGCGTGTGAGCGCACTTAAACTGCCAGGGTAACCTCAGAAAATTGTGATGTTGGATGTTCAACTGGTCACTAAGCGAAGAGCAGCGGACCGTGGCAGAGGAGCTCAACACCCCTGCACCGTTGTGTTGTACGGCGCGGGTCACGTTTCTTTTTCTTTCTCAGGTCTTCAGTTTAAATCCTCCCGCAGGTGAAAAAAATGATGAAGCCAAACCTCCAACATCAGTGGGAATATTAGATCAGTATATCGCACCAATACTTAAATCGGCCTCGGGTTTATCCAGTTTCTTGATTTTTTTTTTAACTTTCAGGAAATATTGCCCGAGGTCCCGTCTGTGGAGAGTTCTATTTACACCGTGCATTTCTCTTTCGTACTTTCATTTACGTTTTTCTTTCTTTTATTCTTTAAAACAACCACAGTCGCATTCTGTTCCCTCGTTCTGTTTTTTTATTGTTTCTTAAATTAACGCAACATTCAGTTTCAATTAAGGTAACAACGAACATATTATACTAAAACGTGTTACCACTTCTCCTTCAGAACAATTTATTATTTTATTTAATATACAGTACAATGATAATATAGTTGTATCATGTAAGGTAGTGGGCATCACACCTAGCCGGGGAGGGGGCTTCTCAACGTTTGTGGGAGTTTTTTTTTTTTTTTACGGAAATTAGCCCACCCGGGCACAGGTCAAACGACCCACAACGGAGCCTGGGGGGCGAAAAAAAAAGAACGGAAAGAAATTGAAAATATAGAAAAAACGGTTATACTGTATTAATCTACACCACGAAGATGCCGGAAAACCAGCTTTTTAAAGTGAGACAGATTGTAAGAGCATGGAAACACAGAAGAAGGCAGAGCATTCCACAGTTTGGCTGTGTGAGGAAAGAAGGAGGTACTATAACGGGTTATTCTCGTGTAACCGACATCCACAGAGAAATGGTGGGCACCGCGGGCAAGACGTGTGTTACGAACTCACGGCCTTGCCGGCGGTACACAGGATGCCAAATCCACTGAACATTGCCTGTTAAAGTACCTGTAAAAGAGAGAGAGTGAAGCAACATTGCGGCGAAGAGAAAGGGAAGAGAGATTGTAGACTAAAGGAGGAAAGTTAATAAGACGAAATGCCTTTGATTCCACCCTGTCTAATAGTTGGACAGAAGAAGAGCCACCCCAGATATGAGAGCAGTACTCCAAGTTAGGACGAATGAATCCCTTATATACTTGGAGCAACTGCTCAGGAGTGAAGTAGCTGCGGCATCTGTACAGCATTCCCAACTTTCGGGAGGCAGCTTTAGTTATACTAAGGATGTGTGATTTCCAGGACATATTGGAGGAAATGGTGAGGCCTAACATATTTATTTCAGAATTTGGGAGGATGATAGCGTCCTGAAATGTAATTGGTGGGAGATCGTCTACTTTACAAAGTGTAATTGGTAAATATTGAGTTTTGTTACTATTGAACTTAACCAAGTTTGTATCTCCCCATTCAGAGATGCTGCACAGATCCGCGTTGATAGAAGTAATGATATCAGTTCTAGAAACAGATCTAGTTTGAGAGTTAGGAGGAAGGGGAAAATGTGAGGAAGAGTGAAGAGTAGAATCATCGGCGTAAGAATGGATAGAATTAGTTGTAGTGTGAAGTAAATCATTGATAAAAAGAAGAAAGAGAGTTGGTGAAAGAACAGAACCCTGTGGGACGCCACTATTGGTAGAGAAAGAGCGAGAAATTGATCCCTCGACAACAACTGCCATGGATCGATTCTCAAGGAAGCTAGAGATGAGAGAACAAAGTGGGGGAGAGAAACCAAAAGAGGGAAGTTTAGATAGCAAAGACTTGTGCCATACCCTGTCAAATGTTTTGGAGATGTCGAGAGCCACGACAAAAGTTTCCCCATAATCCCTAAGAGAGGATGACCAAAGATGGGTGCAGTAGGAGAGCAGATCACCAGTAGATCTCGCCTGGCGAAAGCCATACTGGTGATCCTTCTAAAATACAAACGCAACTAAATGGAATAAACAATGTGTGTAAATAAATTAGAGGAAAGTTAATTAACCTCAATGTTCATGTTTTGACGATACACACATTACTTATGTAAGTAATATGTGTCATAGTTAAAACTCTCATAAGATGTTCGAAGCTGAAAAGAACGAGGCGGGAATTCTCAGGATAAAAACACTGTGAGACCCAGAATATCCAGACTAGGTGGCCGAAATGTCTTTGGGCTTAAACGTTTTAAGCAAAACTTTCCGCAGTCGAAACGTACAGTATTATAGTGGGGGGCCAATTGCAAGAACAGTCGTTGGGTGTACGACGCCGTTTACGATGACCTTCTTGCCCTGATCTTGTTTCAGGAATACCACCCTTTTGAAGCTCTGGAGAGATCTCGAAGTTTCGATATTTTGAATACAGCACTAGCTAATAATTCCCACTAGGAAACTTGTTTCGAGACTCCTCCAAAGCTTCGAAAAGTGCAGAATTCCATGTGTTAAAGGCGATAGTGCTGAAAAAGACCAGGGCAAGAAGGTCATCGTAAATGGCGTCGTACACCGCATAACCGTTCTTGCAATTGGCCCTTTGTCGTCCGTGAAACTGTACCCATGAGACTTTACTGTACTGCATTCGTGACTCTTGAGATAAATGGTCACGGGAATTCATGGACTCAAGACGTCGCATGTAACTCTAACTCTTGCCAGGCTAGGTTAGGTTAGGTTAGGTTATAATTTTATTACTGCACTTCAACAGCTAAGGTCTTTAAGCGCATAACTATGTCAATAATTACACTAATCCGTGAACAATAAAAAAAAATTGGAGAAACAAAATTGATGTCCACATTATGTTGTATACCTGCACTGTCTAGTTACATTGTTAGTATACCTACACTCTCCATACACATGCTGAATCAATGTAAAATTGTATAAGGATTTTACTGAATAAATACCTATCTTATACCTCTCTATTGACTGCGCTGGAGTGGTCTAACAAACACCTCCCCAGGCTGTTACCCACTCTCACTCTGACCCTCATGCAGTAACAGGACTATTAGAACATCAGTGTCTACCTTTTATCATTTACCATGCAATTTTATAATAGGATTGACGGCCAGCGTAAGCAAAGATTAAAAGTTTCTTAATTATTGATGGGAAGAAAATTTTCGGTAAAATTTTAGTTTCGGTCATCCCTATGTTCTTCCCAAGGTTTTTGACGTTCTGAATTATTTTGATCTAACCTAACCTAACCTAGTCACAAAGCCCAGGAGCTATATCTAACCTAACTTAAATTCCCAAGATACCCCGGATGACCGAAACTAAAATAATACTGTACTTTCAACACTAAAGTACAGTAGTACTGTACGTGTCAAAGTCATACATTACAGCATCAGCATGTCTTTAGTTCTGTACTACCTGTAAAAAGTCTCAACAGATGTAATAATATTAAGAGTCGTTAAAGCTCACAGCTGTCATTTAGCTAGAGCGACTGAGTACCGTTATATAAGATCCTCTTAAGTCTTTAAGTCTTGCACAGCGCCGCTAGATAATTACCGCCAATCGACAACAGTGATGGGGTGTTCCGCGGATCGGCGTTTATTCGCGTTTGTTGTTTGACTCAGTTCTCGGTCATCCTTCACAAGGGGCGGATCCAAGAATCTCAAAAGAAGTTGTGGGTGGGTTAATATGGCGACCACAGAGAGCCCAGTTTCTTTTTTTTAGGATGGGGGGGGGGGCGCTGTAAGGCCCAGAATTTTTTTGAAATCTGACCAATATCATGGACATTTTGAGGCAATTTTGAAGCCATATGCACTTGATATTAAGAGATATTCTGAGGTCAATAGTAATTACTTTTAACTATACAAAAACGCCTGAGTATAATACTTCATTAATGAAAAAGTATTGGAATTTTCTGATGAAAATGGGGGTCCGCACCCCCAGGACCTCCCTGGATCCGCCCCTGCTTCAAGCTAATATAAATCTGATGTAAGGCAAAATATGGGATCACCTGAAGAATCGACACTTCAGAATTTGAAAGTGCCGATTCTTCAGGAGGATACTCAGGGGGTGACGATTATTCAGGTGGATACTCAGATAATTTGCGAGACAATACCGAACACGAAACGATAACACCGCCATTGATAAACATGATGGCTAGCTTCTCCTACACCTCCAGTGCTCCTTGGTGGAGACGAGTAAGTATACGAACATACAGTTCACTTAGAATCCAATTATATTCGAAAAAAGTTGAAGTGTATCCAAACCCATAATATGGGATTCGAATCCAACTATATGAAACTCATCCTTTATACATAATGTACAGGAGGTTCAAAAACCATATTTGCGAACATGAAAAGGGATTTTCGCAAGCCATAAACAACAAAACCAGTAAAGTGAAGTTTATAGAAATTGAAACAAAATACAACCAAGCCTATGTTTATAGTAATAACCTCCCGATGAGAGCCTTAACAAATTTTAGTTTAAGAGCGGACAACAAAAAGCGGCGTCACTAGAGAATTCTCGGAGGAATATTTAAGGTAAAAAAAAATTATCTACAAAGCACGTAGAGATAAGGAATTACTGTTATACGATCATTTTTTTTTTTGCCGAGTTTTTCCCCGTAATTTTCATCGTGTTTCATCCCCTGCCCACTACAGGTGACTTATGATCAATGATAGAGAAAAACGAAAAAAAAAAGTTGTATTTTTTATTAC